TCTTGCCGGTCCTTGGCCGTGTTTGCGGCTCACAACAGCACCGCCGGCGGCTCGCCGCCCGTGCGGCAGTGGCGACCCCTACCTGAGCACAGCCGCGGACCGGTTCACGTCTCGCGCCCCCGCGGGCCAGGGGCAGACGCGGCCCGCGGCTGCCGGACCGCCGCGCGTCACGACCTGGGCCGGCTCGCTGTCGCGGCGGTGTGCGGGGAAATGTCTGTGTCCCGGCTGATCTGCGCCGGGGGTGATCAGCTGCTGTCATGTCTTCTACGGACAGCCGTCGGAACTGGGAGATCCGCGCTGCCGCTGCTCTCTCGAAGCGTGCGTCACGGCCGGGGCGATCAGCGGCCGTTGTGTCTTCCCCTGTGGTCGGACCTGCCTGACGGCCTCGGGCCGCCGTTTTTGTGCTGGCGGGCCGCGCACATCGGGAGGGAACGGAACTGTCCGTTGTCGTGCTGTCTAGGCCGTTTATATCAGCTTGAACTAGTTCCTTGGCTTATATGGCCGTATGCCACAGGTTGAAAGGGTACCACGTCTTCTGTGGTCATATGTGACAGGTTGAGCTGTTGCCAAAGCTTCTGTGGCTACGTCACAGGTTGAGCTGTTGCCGAGGCTTCTATGACTGTGTGTCACAGGTTGAGCTGTTGCCGGGGCTTCTGTAGCCTTATGTCACAGGTTGAGCTGTTGCCGAAGCTTCTGTGGCTGTGTCACAGTTTTAACTGTTGCCGAAGCTTCTATGACTGTGTGTCACAGGTTGAGCTGTTGCCGAGGCTTCTGTGGCTGTGTCACAGTTTGAGCTGTTGCCGAAGCTTCTGTGACTGTGTGCCACAGGTTGAGCTGTTGCCGAGGCTTCTATGGCCTTGTGTCACAGGTTGAGCTGTTGCCGAAGCTTCTGTGGCCGTTTGTTACAGGTTGAGCTATTACCTGGGTTTCTGTGGCCTTGTGCCACAGTTTGAGCTGTTTCCGAGGCTTCTGCAGCCTTATGTGACAGGTTGGGCTGTTTCCGGAGCTTCTGTGGCCTTGTGTCACAGGTTGAGCTGTTGCCGAGGCTTCTGCGGCCTTATGTCACAGGTTAAGCTGTTGCCCAGGCTTCTGCGGCCTTATGCCACAGGTTAAGCTGTTGCCGAGGCTTCTGCGGCCTTGTGTCACAGGCTGAGCTGTTGCCGAGGCTTCTGCGGCCTCGTGTCACAGGTTGAGCTGTTGCCGAGGCTTCTGCGGCCGTCTGCTCTGGACTGCAGTATTGGCGCACCGTTTGTTGCCGTGTGGCACTGGTTTTGCCGCTGCCGCCGAGCATGCGTCACTGGAGGACTCTGCTCTCCGTTGCCGTGGCGTCCCCAAGCATGTGTCTGAGGCGGGCTGATCTACGATGGAACGGGCCGCGTAGACGCTGCCTGCGGGAGGGCGGGGAAGGGGGAGACTGAACGCCACTGGTCACGTGACCGACGCCTGGTGCCGGTACATGCCGAAGGTGACGGTGTTCACTGGTCAGTGTCGCCGGTCTCTGGTCATCTGCGATCACCTGTCACGGCCGGCCGGTGACTGGCTGTCGCCGATAACCTAGAAACAGCTTTCCGCGGCCGTCTGGGCGGATGTTTAAGAGCAAGGCGTGGACGTTTTTGCGGTGGGAAAGACCATCCAGATGTTGGCGGATCTGGTAACTCCCATTAAGACGAAATGTTGTACAAAGAAAGGCGATAACCGGCCTCGAAACACGATATGATACGCCGCTCGTTTGATGAACGGACGTCGGGTCCAACAGATGAATGGAACGCTCAGAACTGTGCACCCTACCGTATAACAGTTACGGAGTTTTGTGGCCTACGGTCGCACGCTTTTCTTCTTCGAGATTATCCGCAAACTGAGAGCGAATGTGTTTCCTTTGAACGCGCCAGTAATAGCGGTGCCATCAAAGCTCTCCTCACACTGGCAGCTTGACCTCCCGTATTTCCTTTGAACGCGCCAATAATCGCGATGCCATCAGAAGCTCTCTTCACGCTCGCAGTTTGAATCCCCCCCCCCCCCGCCCCCTCTCCCTCTGACCGTTGCTGGTCTGGCGGCCGCGCCGCCGGGAGCGGCGGTGGGTCAGGCCTGACCCCTGCGCGCTGGCGGGGTCGACCGCGCCGCCGGGGCCTGCGGTGGGTCAGGCCCGACCCCTGCGCGCTGGCGGAGCCGGCCGTGTTGTTGGTCTGGCGGCCGTGCCGCCGGGAGCTGCGATGGGTCAAGCCCGACCCCTGCGCGCTGGCGGGGCCGGCCGCGCCGCCGGGGCCTGCGGTGGGTCAGGCCCGACCCCTGCGCGCTGGCGGGGCCGACCGTGTTGCCATTAGCGGTGTTGCTATCTGGCGGGGACGGGCGCGGCGCTGATTGGTGTGCGGTGACAGGTGGCGCCGTGCCGACACCTGATAACGGCCACCCGTCCGCGCGCGACGGCGCCGCCCGGCCACGGCCGCTGATGTCGCCCGACGGGCGGACGGGCGGCGTCAGCGACGGCTAGGAGGGGGCTCCAGGGGCGGTGTCAGGGATGGCTGGGATGGGGCTCCAGGGGCGGTGTCAGGGATGGCTGGGACGGGGCTCCAGGGGCGGTGTCAGGGATGGCTGGAAATGGGGACTCCAGGTACGGATGGAAGGCCTGGTGTCAGAGGGGCGGCGCCGGGGACAGTTAGCACGGGGCTTCACTCGCGGCGAGTAGGGGTGGGAGAGACCAGACAGGTCACGCCGGATCGTCGCCGATTGGCTGCCTCAGGAGAGGTCCATGCTCGATCACCAATGAGCGCTCCCCGTCTGAGGCCGTGTCGCGGCATATTTCCGCCAGCGGGCAGTGGGCAGGCATTGCATTCTCAGCATTCTCTGAGAATGCATCACGGCAGATGCCATCTGCCGAACACACCCCGGACGGCCACTGCATATCCCGGATGCCGTTACTGTCGAAAGTCCTGTGGTCGATTTTCCCCTGTCAGCCACCACGCACTGAGCTGCCATGCGTGAACAGGTTACTTAAATGCGCACTGTTGCCTGAAACAAGTCCTCCTTGGGCCATGCCGATACTACGTCGTACCGGCAAAGAACGCGTGTCGACGAAAGATTATCCGCCCAAGTAACGTATTTGGTGCGCTGGCACTCGGATCTGCCACGCATTTGTCGCACCGCCATGCAACGAGAATTTGCACGTCATTATCCACCAACGCGTGATAGCATCAGAGCCAGGGCGCTCCGCTGTGCGTAGCGCCATTTTCCCATGGGGCGCGGGGACAGCGTCATCGCGTGCGTGCCGACGGCGGGCGCGGCGATGGACGTCGGTGACCGTGACCGTGACCTTTGCCGGCAGGTGACGTCCAGCGTCATGCCTCGCTGCCTGTCCAGGTAGTCGGTCGAGGTGGTTCATCCCTCGCGGTCGCCGCCCAGGTAAGCTAGCCGAGCCCGGCACGCAGTAATGGTTGCCGCAGTTTGCTGCGCCGGCGGCTGACGGAACCGCGCTGCAACTTGGCCCAGTAAGGGTGCGCTGATTGCCAGTTCCAAAGCGAACGTAACGGATGCGTTAATTGGTAACGCTAATGATTTTATAAGATGGTTAATTCGGAACACCTGGTGTCGGAGGTGTCGTCGTCACTGCGGCGTTACGACGCACTCGGCTGCTGAGGCTGTATGGCGTCGCCTGCCTATCACCCAGGCATGAAGGGCGGGCACCACGGGGAATCGGACACCGGCGTGAGGCGTAGCGCCGCTTCTAGTTGTCTCGTGCCGTGTGGCGTATAGCGCTTCCCTGATGTGCTCGCCGGGGCGGCAGACGCGCGGGGGTCTGTTACGCCGCACCAAGCTAGGACGGGCCGGGGTCGAATGGCATTGTTCCTGCGTTTTTTGCTCTCCGCCCGCTCGGCTCGGATCCCACCATCCGTCTTGCTCGAAGGGCGCGGGCGGCATGCGTGGAGGGTATTCGCGGCACGCGCCGGCCGTTTTGGCTGGCCCGCTTCTGGGGGCTTCTTTGTTGTTCCAATAGCCGCCCGCCGCGCGAGAAGACGGACGATGCCGCGGTGGCGTCTCCGTTTTAATGCATGCGCCGCCAGGCTTCTCACTTCCAGTATAAAGACGGAGCGCGATGCTTGGGCCGCGGCATTCTTTTTCGCATATCCCGCCGTAGGGCATTTGGTTTCCCCTTTTTTGGTACAGGTGAATACCAGTGAATGCTTTGAATTGGTACGGGTGGATTCCAAACTACCAGGAGGGACACCAGGATACCAGTAGGGACCAAAACATCGATAAGGCTTACAGACTTCCCCGAAAATGATTATTCAGTGGCGTTTGTAATTAAGAGATGACACTCCGGTTATTGGCGACAACCTATTTTTTCGTAATCCCATATATAGAAGGCTGGGAGTAGATGAGTGGGCACTATCTTTCTAACCCCCAGTCAAATGGTCTGTGGCGGCGCGACCCTTCCCCAAGAGGCTGTGCCAGGGGGCACCGTCGCCGTGACCTCAGTGGGAGCAGCTGCCCTCTGGTGGCGAAAACCCTGTTCCAGTGCCGCCTCGTTCCTGGTCAGGGGGTCTCGTGCGCCGGTGGTGACCCGTGCCGGTGGCCGTGCCGTCTCTGGCCGTGGGGACCCGTCTCCGTGACCTCAGTCGGACCGTCTGGGCCGGTGATGACCCGTCCCGGTGGCCGTGCCGTCTCTGGCCGTGGTGACCCGTCTCCGTGACCTCAGTCGGACCGTCAGGGCCGGTGGTGACCCGTGCCGGTGGCCGTGCCGTCTCTGGTCGTGGGGACCCGTCTCCGTGACCTCAGTCGGACCGTCTGGGCCGGTGGTGACCCGTGCCGGTGGCCGTGCCGTCTCTGGCCGTGGGGACCCGTCTCCGTGACCTCAGTCGGACCGTCTGGGCCGGTGGTGACCCGTGCCGGTGGCCATGCCGTCTCTGGCCGTGGGGACCCGTCTCCGTGACCTCAGTCGGACCGTCTGGGCCGGTGGTGGCCCGTGCCGGTGGCCATGCCGTCTCTGGCCGTGGGGACCCGTCTCCGTGACCTCAGTCGGACCGTCTGGGCCGGTGATGACCCGTGCCGGTGGCCATGCCGTCTCTGGCCGTGGGGACCCGTCTCCGTGACCTCAGTCGGACCGTCTGGGCCGGTGGTGACCCGTGCCGGTGGCCATGCCGTCTCTGGCCGTGGGGACCCGTCTCCGTGACCTCAGTCGGACCGTCTGGGCCGGTGATGACCCCGTCGCGGCGGTCTGGCGTCTCTCGGGTGGTCGTTGCACGGCCGGGCCGCTCCCGCTGCCCCGAGGCCGGGCGGTTCAGTGGCGATAATTCCCCGACCGAATGAGGCGTGCCCAAATTGATGGCGGCTCGGCACCGGCATTGTCGGCGAATAACGGGGCGTCCCGTCTCCCCGCGCCGCCTCCGGCGGCCGCTCCGGGTCGGGCTAGGTCGTTCGCTCGGGCGGATACCAAAGCGGGGTCGCGCTGGAGATAGCCCAGTCCGCCGCGGAGCCGTCAGGAATAGCTGCTCCGGCGACGGCGGGGCGCAGGGCCCGCGCTTGCTCTGTATTCGCCGTGTAATTAGTGTGTTTCGTCTGTGTGCCGTCTGTGCGGGCGTGTGCGCGATGTCCGGCTTGCAGCGGCGTCCGACTGGAAGGCGGCGACTGCGGCGCACCGCTTGACGAGGAAGTGTGCGATGTGGAACTGAGTGGACTGACGTCACTGATGATGACGTCACTGACGTCGCTGAACTGATGGTGGATGTGGAACTGACGGGGCGCCATGGACGCGCTGTGGCGCGGCGAAGCGGGTGGACTGCTACCGGTGCTAGACACCGAGGACTTCACACCGTGAAGTGTGCTGCCGGGCGGTGTGTGTTGAATCGTGGGAGGCACTCGGCGCGCAAGAGAAATCACATCACATCGTGGCAACGTACAAGAACCTTGAAGGGGAGCAACATGCCGTCTGCGTGACCCGACGCGGACTGCCGGAGAAGAACATCGGAAGACAGCTAAACCAGGTGAGTGGAATTCCGTTGTCGTGTCTGATCGCCGTTTCCGGATCACGCCTGAACAACACAAGGAATAAAGCCCGGAACTAAGCGTGCTTGGACGAAATGCGTTAAAACGTAACATAGGCGTTGCGTTACGTTGCGTAAAACGTTACGTAAGCGAAGCTCATTTCGGTTCCAGATACGTTACGTAACTGCCCATTTTGGACCCAGGATGTTGCATAAACTAGGTTCATTTACGATTCAGATGTGCTGCTTTAACCAGCACAAATTTCGTAGCTCTGACGGATTGTTCTCATCAGCTTCATGGCATGTTGCCTGAACATCCCACCAGCGCATATCCCGTTGTCCACGCTTTGCCGAGAATGGAGCTCCGTCCCAGCTGACGGCCGGCGGCTGGCGGCTGGCGGCTGGCGGCTGGCGGCTGGCAGCTGACGGCTGGCGGCGGCTGGCGGCTGACGGCTGGCGGCTGACGGTTGGTGGCTGACGGCTGACGGCTGACGGCTGGCGGCTGGCGGCTGGCGGCTGGCGGCTGGCGGCTGACGGCTGGCGGCTGGCGGCTGGCGGCTGGCGGCTGGTGGCTGGCGGCTGGTGGCTGGCGGCTAGACCTACGCGCCCGTTGTGGCGAGCGGACAGCTCCGGCCGGGCGGGTGGGCTCTGGCTACGGCTGCGTTCTTTCGGTGTCATTCGGCACCGGGTTGTGGTGAGCGTCGTTACCGACATTCCCGGACGAGAGACCCGCGCGGCGGCGGCTCGTGACCTCGACCCAGACGGCATGACAAGCATGCGGTCAAAGGTCGAGACGTACTGGGAAGCTTGGTGTGGCCCGGTGGATGACTGGGAGGCTGGGTATGACCCGGCGGATGGCTGCGGAAGGCTGGGTGTGGTCCGGCGGATGACGTCGGATGACGAAAGAGCGCGCCGGGGTGGCCGCAGCCGTACCAACTGAAGGTGATGCCGTCAGTCGGTGACCATTTTCCGTTTACATGGCGGCGCCCTCCTCGCCTCGACCGCCATTGAGCGGTCGACGTACCGCCAGCTTCCCTCTCTCCCTCACGCTCTTTCTTTCTCTCCGCTCACTCGTACCGCGGTGCACGCGGAACGCAGCGGCACGGCCGTCAGCTGCTGGCTCCCACGAGCCCCGGAAGGCTGTCAGCTGGGCATATCGCAGCCATGACGTCAGCATGGAGCTCGGCAGGTCCCGGCAGACGGAACACAACGCCCCCGCGCTGGTGACGCCGGCGGCACATGACGTGACGCGCCTGAATAAAGCAGCCGTGGCGCGGCGCGTGCGGACGGATGACGTCGGCGTCTCTCGGTGACGCGCCGTGCCGTCTCGTGTTTGTCGTCGAAACGCACGCTTGCGGTGCTCGGACGTGAGCATGGCGTGTTCAGTTGGATTACCATGGCGCGATAGCTGCAGCAATTTTCCAGCAATTTGGTTCCAGTCGTGTACAGTGCACTCAGATGGGATTTTGACGGTTGCTGAATTTGTCCTCTTTTCACTAATCGGACATAACGTTTCCAAAGCATTCCGGGACCGACACTGGTTAAACCAAAGCCCACTCACTTGAATTATCCCTGATCTTTCGCAAATGCTGCTGCTATGTTGCATGCACTACATACGAACAGATGCATTGGGTTCACATGTTCTTTGTGTTACATACAGTCGTCGACTTTGATCGTCGTCTGATTAGTTTAAGCAACGGTTGGGCCAGGGAATTAATCTTGGAGACAAGTGGTTCCCGGAGGTGAAACGAACTAGGCACTTAATGATCGACCGCGGGCATAACAGCGGGGTAGAATGTCGCAACTTCCTCGCTGTATAAAACGCACCTGCTTCAACTCCGAAATACGCTATCCATATCAATTCAGCTAATACGCGGCCGCCCCTATCCGTGTCACAACAAAGCCATTACGCGGCGCGATGGCTCCGAGTTCTTTGATGTCAGCCTGATGTTTCCGTCGGCCGACGGTCGGTTCGGGCGTCGCGTCGGGCCGACGTTGGCCCGATGGACGCGGTGGCCCGCCCGCCCGGGGCTGCCCGTCACCGACAGGTCGCCGTCCGCCGCCACGGGTCGAGCGGCGGTCGATGTGTCGGATGGCGGCCGACGGGCGGGCGCGAGGGCGCACGGCGCGGGGCGCCACGCGGCTCTGCTGATTGCTGTGGCGACCACGCTGAACGGAGCGTTTTGAGCGGCCGCGGTGAAGACGCGTGGCGGGGTGAAGACACGCGGCATTGTCACTGCCGCAGCGCTAACGAAGTTGCCGTGCGGGACTGACGCCTCGCGCCTCCTCGCCGATCACGTGCCTTGAGACGATCCGGCCGTAGCTGATGTTTCCGTCGGCCGACGGTCGGTTCGGGCGTCGCGTCGGGCCGCTGGTGAGCCGCCATTGGCGTCGGGCTGACCCCGGAGGCGGCTGCCGAGACGAGTTGCCACCGACAGCACGCGCCGAGCCACTCAGCAGATTGTCCACGCTGGCCCGCCGTCGCCAGCGGGAGTGGCGAAGAGCCCGCCTCGCCGCCGGCTCTCGTTCTGTCGCGCCTCCAGGCACTTGATTGTCTTGTGGCGCCAGACGAGAGCCTGTCTTTGAACTGGCTCCCGCACGTCGGCCACGTCGGCACCGGTCGTGCCGACGCACGCGTTTTTGTCGACGTAGGGTCAGAATTCGGAGAGGATTCAGGCAGGCACCACGGGTGCCGAGCTCCCGACTCGCCTTCTATGACATCGCCAGCTGTAAACGTGCCGAGACGGAGGGACGGCCGGTGCTCGGCTGGCGCGGACGAACGCAGGGCTGGCTCAAATTCGGCGGAGACCAACAGCTCCCGGTATACTACGCCTTTTTGAAACGAAACATGATATGCATGAAATGGGTTTCGCATTCATATTATACAGTGAAAATGTGCGTATCCACCCACTGTGGTGGCAAAAAAACAAAACAACATAGTCACCAGCTCGCCCGCGGTGAACTGGCGGCCATGTTTTTCCATTGCCTCCGCTGTCATTTGAACCTGACTGCTCTCACTTGCACATGGTGATGACAAATCACCTGTATGATGCTTGTAAGCCGTTGTCATGGTTACAACTTCAGTGAGACTGGATATGAATAGTCCAGGTTCATAGCGAGTTGAGCTAGACTCAACGTCAGCGGCGTGGAGCTCATTCGGTGCCCTCGGGATATGCTGCTGCAGCGTGCTACCGCGGCGTTACTGTTGGCTCGACATTCTGCCAAGGCTGTCTGGCAGCCTTCGACCATGCGGCGCGTCTGCCGGCGACCGTGAATAAGTCCATTGATTTGCGCCACTCACACATGCGCACACGTATGCACACAGCCATAGAAGCGCGTTGTAGCGGACAATGCGGCCGCGTCGCGGCGGTGCCTAGTGGGCTGACCGATGTATCGATCCTGTGGCCTTCTTCACCCGGTGAGACGTCAACGGCGAAACAAACACCGCCGGCTTGTGTTGCGGAGATAATAGTGCCTGCCGGTTCTTGCGCGGTGCACGTCTCTAACTGGCCGTGCCTCCTTACGCTGCTCCGCCGTAGGCCACTCCAGTTCCCAGAATGTTTGAAGTGTTTGCCCGTACTCGAATAGCGTCCCAGGAATCCCTCAGCCTTGCCCCGTGCTTTAAACTTTCAAAGCGTAATTCACGTAGTCGGTCGGTCGTGCTTGAAGCGATCTGGCCTGCGTTCTACGTTATCACTATAGCGCTCAACAGTCGATTTCAGCGAAAAGTGTTGTGTTTGCATTTAAGTTATCGTATTCTACCTGTATCAGTAAGCATACTCTGGGTGACCACCGTCAAGCACGGCGGGGCTGTTCCCCTGAAAGCCGCATAAACATAGGAACCAATTAATACGGTTCTGCCGGCGGTCGATGTGTCGAACTTCACCCCAGATATTGCATAACGGCCGTGGTCGTGCAACGGTGAGTACATCTGTGCTCGAAACCTAGACAAAGCGGTCGGTGAAGAAACAACACCATTATACGGCTAAATCCAGTTGAAGTTGACCACTGGTAAAAGAAGTATGTACTGCCCTGCTGATGCATAAATGTATTATATCCCCTTGCATATAGAGTGCTCATACACTTTCAACTGGAGATGTTGGTGAATGTCACCAATTTTTATTCAACCAGTTATATGATAACGATATCCACCTCAGTCTCGGCTCGGTACATAGCTGTCGTTTCACTCAGGCAATCAGCCTCGTTGCCGAGGTTAGTAGTGCATCGACGGGAAAGGCTGAGTCGTAAAGCGTCTATAAATAGGGAGCGTTTGCTGTTGATCGTGGGCGCGTATGCTGTGCTTACTCACTTGCAGGGTGTACCCGTTGGAAGCTAAACTGATCTCAGATAACCCGTGTAGAAGTGCATTGTATTTTTCCCCTGTTTATTGCCATTTGTCGTTATGAACGCGCGGTAGACATCCACTGTGTGTCGGGTTATTTGGAGCTGGTCGTTACCCGGCATACAGTTTGGTGAAAGGCTTTGCTGGCTGTTTCAGATCGAGTTTTTTTACGGCAATCTTAAAATAGCCCGACCCATTGAATGCACCACGTTTCCTTGCCTCCCCGCTGAACAGCGTGGATGCGAGACCAGTGGTCGCGCGGTGGGTGCGGACCAGACACGCCCGTCGGGCACAGACCAAGCATCGCGCCGGGCGCAGACCAGTGACTCCCGCAGCGGTCAGAGGGCCAGAGCCCCCCCCCCCCCCCCTCCCCCGGCCGCACCCCCGGGACCGTGACGGACCGGAAGTCGGCGTCCCGGCCGGATGTGCTTCGGCGGCGGGTCCCAGCGGATGGGTGACGTCACTGACCACGGCCACCACAATGCGGCTGATGTGATGCAGACAACCGCCTTTGTCGCGGTTGTCTGCCAGCGACGGCCTACGGGCGCATACGAATGACCGGCCCGGTCGAGGTGACCGGCTATTGATCTTGCTGCTCATTGGGTGCGAGGGGCCCGCGCATTTCGGATCTTTATCGATATTGAACTCCTCGGCTGTG